CAACAACACATGGTTTCGCAACACGTATTTCTAAAAAAGCTTACGCGCGCGCTTTTGCGACGTCTCAAGAAAACCATAGGTTCAAGATTTCCAAAAACAAATACTACCAAACGGGCTTCGCACGCGCGCATGTCGAAATCTTTCGAACGCCTTTGCGCGCGTGCCGTCGCGAGAACCCTCTGCAACAAAAATGACGAAGTGCAGACGCGCGCGTCGTCGCGCGCGCATGCCGGAATCCTTCAAAAACCTTCGGTTCCGGAAGGATTTCAAAATCGTGTGTCCAGAAAACATATAAAAACACAAGGTTTCGCAACACGGATTTTCAACAATAGCGTCGTCGTCGCCGTCCTCCCTCCTCCGTCGTCGTCGTCGTCGTCGTCGTCGCCGCCGTCGTCGTCCTCTGTGTTTCCTCGTCGTCGTCGTCGTCTTGGCGTCGTCGTCGTCGTCGTCGTTATCGCCGTTGTCGTCCTTCCTCCCTCGTCGTCTTCGTCGGCGTTTCGTCGTTGTCCCTCCTATATCGTCGCCGTCGTCGTCGTCGTCTTCGTTGTCGTCGTCGTCGTCGTCGTCGTCTTCGTCGTCGCCGTCGTCGTCGTCGTCGTCGTCGGCGGCGGCGGCGTCGTCGTCGTCGTCGGCGTTGTCATCGTCGTCGTTGTCAGCGGCGGCGGCGGCGGCGTCGTCGTCGTCGTCGGCGTTGTCATCGTCGTCGTTGTCAGCGTCGGCCGTCGTCGTCGTCGTCGTCGTCGTCGGTGTTGTCGTTGTCGTCGTCGTCGTCGTCGTTGTCGTCGTCGTCGAAGTCGTTGGAGACGTCGTCGGTGTCGTCGTAGTCGTTGTCGGCGTCGTCGTCGTCGTCGTCGTTGTCGCTGTCGTCGTCGGCGTCGGTGTCGTTGCCAAGTGCCATTTGGTACCCACCGTCATGGTCTTAAGAGGTCTTGCGACCAAGTTGCGGGTGGGAGGGTGGGATGTTTGCACGAGCAGTGGAGAGGACAGCTTCAAGTTGAGCAAGTGATTGATTGCACCACAGAGTTCGCACCACATAAATCGCACAACATATATGGCCCATCGCATATTGCACCACGCATAGTTCACCACATAGGCTGCACCACATACACTGCCCCACGCAGGTTTCACACCATACACTGCACGACACAGTTCGCACAACATGTTTTGCACAACATCTGTTGTACCACGTGCATTGAACCACATATCATATCTTGCTGTCCCTATGTTGCATAACGTATACTGCTAGAAACGCTGTTCGTAGGCCATGCTTGCTAGCATTGTGCAACTTCTGCTGTGCAGTACTGGTGGTGCAATGTCAATGTGGTGCAACCAATGTGGTGCGCAATCTATGTGGTGCAGTCAACGTGGTGCAATTTGCGTGGTGGTATCGATGTTGTGCAACCTATGTGTACAATACATGTGGTGTGATTTTTGCGGTGCAGTCTATGTGGTGCACTCTGTGTTGTGCAATCTAGGCGGCGACGCGGCGGCGGCGGCGGCGGCCAGGGAACCGCCAGACCGACACCCAGGCCAAGTGACGGGTGGCGACGAGGCGGCGACGAGGCGGCGACTGCGACGACGGACTCGTTACACCGACACCCAGGCCCAGACGACGGGCGGCGACGAGGCGGCGACGTGTCGGCGACGGCGAGCACTGAGCCGCCAGACCGGCAATGAGGGCCAGACGACGGGCGGCGACGAGGCGGCGACGGGGCGGCGACAGCGAGCACGGAGCCGTCAGACCGACACCCAGGCCCAGCTCTTCAGAACACAACACAACAACTCCAAAGCGCAACCGCTGTTCGGGGAATGCAGACTTCCTGGCCGTCGCCGTACTACTTGGTTCATCGGGCCAGTGCGTATACGGTCGGGTTGGGACGGCTACAGCGCGCGGTCGTTTGTGAGTTTCGAGGTCAGAGTTGCTGTGGCCTGTCAGGAGGCCTCTTGAGGCCTCGTGGGAGCCGTGTGGGGCCCTGCCGGGATCTTTTTGGGGCCTCTTGCGGGCCTCTCGCGGTCTCGGGGCTCCTTGGGGCTGAGGGCTCGAAGTTTCAACTAGAGTCCCCCCTCTTGGACCTTCTGGGGGCCCAGAATCGGGCGAGGTTGAAGGAGCCTGACGTTTCGGGAACGGCCGATAGCGATCCCCGCGGTGTCGGAAATCAATGCCAGGGTCGACACGACACGGACCTGCCGTAAGCGCTGTCGGTTCGGGGAAACGTAAGACTCGAGTGCGCAGGAATTCGGGTTTGCCGACGCGTTTTGACGAGCGCTTCCTGGATTTTGACGGTCCAGTTTTCGTGGGATGTCTGCAGCGGGAGCCCGCGTCAAAAATCCGATTGGATCTCGTCATTCTCACGCTGGCCCCGTCATGCCAACCTGAGTCCCCCGAGCCCGACTCTTACGTCTCCCCGATGGTGCGATCGACAGGGGGACGTCGGGGGGAATTCGCTTCTCAGTCGTTTCCTCGTCATGTCCCCCTTGGTACATTTATCGGTATTTTGAGAAACTCCACGCTGCCGCAAGGGGGATAGAGGCCAGGGGGGGCCTTCGCCTCTTCGGGAGCGGCCAGGAGACGGGTGGTGCCTCAGGGGGTGGACGTCGTGGCGGGGGCCGTGGTGCCTCCCCAGATTTCGTGGTGCCTCTTCTTCTTTCTTTCAGTGCGTCCCCGCCCCCCCCCCCCCCGGGCCGCGCGCGTGCCGCCGAGAGCTCGAGCGAAACGGTGTGTTGGTGATGTCGTGCGCCGTTTTCGGTTTGAGTTCCGTTTCGTCGCAAAGGCAGGACGCAGATAGAACGAAGGACAGCAAAGAACAGAGCGAAAACGAACAAAAACGGTTTCGCTCGAGCCCTGAGGCCGCCGGCCACGACTTGCGCGCCCCCCTCTTGGACAGCCCCCTCTTTCAGGGGGAAAAAAACACACAGACACAATTAATCGTCGACTCCCCAGAAAATATAGGAAAATATGGGGAGTGGGGGGGAAGACAAAAACACAGAAAATATGGGAAAATATGGGGAATCCTTTTATTTGTGTGTATTTATTTGTGTGTCCCAGGGCCCCTTCACTCTTGGAGGCCCCCGAGTACGAAAACAGGGGGCGCGAGGGCCGCTTGCAGCTCCTGTTGCCGTTTTGGGCAGGACTGGCTGTCGGTGCCATCGCGGGCCTGCATCGCTCGGACGTGTGTGAATTTTCTCGGCTGGAATCGTTGCGAAGCAACTGTTGTACTTTTTCTCGGACGTGTGTACTTTTTCTCGGCTGTACTTTTTCTCGGACGTGTGTACTTTTTCTCGGTGTGTACTTTTTTATGTACTTTTTCTCGGCTGGGTCATCTTGCGAAGAAAAAAACACACGATACATGCACGATAAATGACGATCAAGTGCAATGCACGATAAACGATACGATAAATGATACGATCATGCACGACAGTGCACGAGAATGCACGATTATCGTGCATTGTTCGGTTTCGTTCGCAGTGCTCGCGCACGAAGCCGAACAATGCACGATAAATGAACATCCGAGCGATGGCAAGTATCCATCTGAGGCAGAAAGGCGGCTGCCCCACAGCGGCCGCTGTCGGCAGTTTTGGACAGCATGTGCTGTTTGGTATCCTGCCCTTTTTCCGTACCCATTTCGGGCGTCCACAAGGGCCGAGGTCTCCCGGACGAGGTCCGAGTGGATGGGGTCGGTGTATCGCGCCGCATCGCTAATGTATCGGCGATTTAACTCGATGTGGAGCCCGATATTCTCCGCGCCGATAGCGCCGAAGCATCGCCGACGTCGCCGATGCGTCGGCGATGTCTCGGCGATGCATCGGTGATGCGGCCCGACTCTCCGACCCCATCTACTCGGACCAAATCTGCGAGGCCTCCATAGGGGCGGCGGACGTCATGGCCTAGCCCACGATGTCTCCCCTCATTTCATCGCCACTTCTTTTTTTTCTTCTTCGTCTTCGTCTTCTTCTTCTTCTTCTTCTTCTTATTATTATTATTATTATTATTATTATTATTATTCTCTTCTTCTCCATATTATTTTTTTTACTCGTCTTCTTCTCCATCTTCTTTTTCTATTCCTCTTCTTCCTCTTCTCTTCTTCTCCTTCTCCTTCTTCTTCCTCTTCTTCTTCTTCTTCTTCCAACGCGTTCCCTGATGTGCAAACTCTCCTCTTGGACGCCCCCCCTGCCCAGACGCCCCCGAAGTGTGCATGCGTACAGTGTTTGGCGCTCTCCGACGGCGAGGCGGCGGGGCCCTCGGCGCGGGCGCGGAGCACGCGGAGCTCCTCAGCGCCGCGGCCTGCGCGGCCGACGACGAGGCCGTGTGCGCGCGGGTGCAGGCGCGCGCGGCGGAGGAGGAGGAGGAGGAGGAGGAGGAGGAGGAGGAGGAGGAGTAGGAGGGAGGAGGAGGAGGAGGAGGAGGAGGAGGATGGCGGAGGAGGAGGAGGAGGAGGAGGAGGAGGAGGAGGAGGAGGAGGTGGAGCGAGGAGGAGGAGGCGGAGGAGGAGGAGGTGGAGGAGGAGGAGGAGGAGGAGGAGGTGGAGGTGGAGGAGGAGGAGGTGGAGGAGGTGGGTGGAGGAGGAGGAGAGGAGGAGGAGGAGGAGGAGGAGGGAGGACGGAGGAGGAGGAAGGGGACGGAGGAGGGGAGGAGGGGAGGAGAGCGAGGTGAGGAGGAGGAGGAGGATGGAGGTGGAGGAGGAGAGGAGGAGGAGGAGGGGAGGAGGGGAGAGGGGGAGGTGGGGGATGGAGGAGGAGGTGGAGGAGGAGGAGGCTCAGGAGGGAGGAGGAGGAGACAATCCCCGAGGAGGGAGGAGGAGGAGGAGGAGGAGGAGGAGGAGGAGGGGGATGGGGGTGGAGGGGGAGGAGGAGGAGGAGGAGGAGGAGGAGGAGGAGGGGAGGAGGAGGAGGAGGAGGAGGAGGTAGGTGGGAGCGAGGAAGGAGGAGGAGGAGGAGGAGGAGGTGAGGTGAGGTGGACAGGAGGCCGAGGAGGAGGAGGAGGCGTGTGCGCGCGGGTGCAGGCGCGCGCGGCGGAGCTGGCGGCCGCGGGCGAGGAGTGCCTGCTGCCCCTGGCGCAGTTCGCGGAGGAGCTGCTGCGCGCGCGGCTGGAGGACGCCGCGAGCCTCGCCCTGGCGGCACGGCTGGCCGAGGACGAGGCCGACGCGGCCGCCGAGGAGCCGGGGCCCCGGACGGTGTGGTGACCTCAACCGCGCGGCGAGACGGTCGGGACTCGAGTTTTCTTGGGCGTCCTCTCGTCGAGTCCTGGGGGTTCATCCTGCCTCGGGGTGCGTTCCAGGAGGAGCCCTGAGCAGGAATTTGTGGAATTTTCGCTGTAATCATGTTGCCACGCATTGTCTGTATGTTTCACCTGGGCGCTTCGGCCCCTCCCTGCGGCACCCTCGCGGTGCATTCTCGCAGTTCGCAGTTCGGGGTGCGTTCCAGCGGCTGGCCAGAGGCCGGCGCGCGGCCCGACAAGCCAGAGGGCGAGGGCCGCGCCGCGTGGTGCGGCGTCGGGCACTCGGGGTGGCTGCGCGGTTTTGGGACTCGGGCCGTTCGCCGAGGGCGTGTCGGGCGGCCGCGGCCTCCGCGCGGCGACCGGGCCGTGCGGTGGGGTCTCTCGGGGCGTCGAGGTCGCCGCACGGCCAGTCGCCGCACCGCTCGGGGCTTCCCGCGAGGAGCTGGAGGGCGGCTGGGACGCGGCCGCGCCGGCTGCACCGGGGCTGGGCGCCGGGGGGGCCCCGCAGCTGGGCCGCCGGGCCATGTAGTACTGGAGGTCGGAGAGGGGTGTGGCAGAAAGTCGGAAGCTGGAGCATGTATGCACTGCCAGTGGCGGGCGGCTGTTCAATGCCAGGACCTTTTTGAGGGTCGGGGGCGACGTCGGGGTGGTGTGGTGTCTGCTTTTTTCCTCCGTTTTCGTGGGGAGACAGCGAAGAATGTCTACACCAGGACCCCGTATACACCAGGGTCCGCAATCCTGTGCAAATTTCAACACAGGGCCGGAAAAAGCGTCGGTGTATAGAGCTCGATTCCCTATAAGGGGGTATGCTGCCAATCGTGGATATGGCGGTGCCAGCCGCGATCAAGTAACGTCGCCAGAGTCCCCTTTACCTAACATTAGCACCACACCCCTTGGTACCATACCCCTTTCCTACCTCCAGAGTGTTCTCACCACATCATCGCGCCGGGCAAGCGGCAGGCGATCAAGGAGTGGGCGGCGCAGCTGGGCCTCGGCGGCCTGGTCAAGGTCGGCTGGCCCGGGCTCATCGTCGTGGAGGGGGAGGAGGGCAGCGTGCGCGCGTATGTGGATGCGCTGTCGCGGCTGCGGTGGAAGCACTTCGTCGTGCGGGCTGAGCAGCAGGTGATCGTTTTCTTATTTATTGTTTTGCCGATCGGCGCGGGCCCCCCAGCCCCCCCCTCCCCCCTCCCCCATGGACTAGGTCTTGGCTGTTTTCTGGCGCCCGTTTCGAGCGGGTGGAGTCTCCCCCCAGAGGCAGCACTCTTGCAAACAGTCGCACTAAGCAGAGGTCTGGAGCCAGACCCCCCCCCTCCCCCCTTTTCCGCCCAAAGTCGAACGAATAAAAGAAATGCTCACCAGGTGGAGGGCGAGAACGGCCAACCTCTCGACCGCCTCAGAGTCCTGCCCGTCGGCGTCGAGGAGTTCGGGGCTGACGGCATGTCGGCCTTCGCCGCGAGGTGCCGGGAGCGCGGTCTGGAGGAGCTCTTCCTGCGGTGCATGAAGCTGCGGAGGTGAGGATCGCAGGCAATTTCTCTCCCCCAATCCTCGGGGTTCTGCCCGAACAGCTTGACCACCACTCAAAAGGGGGGAAACCCTGGGGCACACCCCGAGGGGGCTGTTCGGACGCACCCCTCGCGAGGATGGACGCCCCTCCCATCGTATATCCCAGGGTTGGGGCCCAGCTTTCTGGCCCATTCGAGAACCTCGCGAGGCCTGGGATAGGGGTCGACATACTTAGGGGAACAAAAAGTGACATAAACATAAAAACTCGGAGGTCCGCGCGGATTTCTCGGATCGGCGCTGGACCCCCCTCCCTGGCGCGCGGAGCGCGCCAGGGGCGGCGTCGGAGGCGCCGCCAGGGGGACAGCGCCCGATCGAGAAAACCCGCGCGGACCTCGAGTTTTTATGCTTATGAAATTTTTTGTTTTCCTAATACTCCCTGCGTGCCGCCGAGGAGGTGCGGGAGCGTGAGCGTGGCGCGCTGGGCGCGGGCGCGCAACCATCGTCGGGGCTGTCCGGCCGCGGCCCGCCCGTTTGCCGCGGGGCCTCGGCGCCGAGCGCCCCGTGCGGCCCCCGTGGCCTCCTGCGCTCCCTGCGCGACGCGAGGCGCGGCGCGGCGGCCGGCCGCGCCGGCTGCGGCAGCGCCTGTGGGGCACTTTTACACCACGCCACACGCGTAGGTAGGGGGGGGGGGCGAAGGCGGGTGAGGTCCTCCTGCTACTCCTGCTGCTCATCCTCCTCTCCCTCCTCCTGCCCCTCGCCATCCTCCTTCCTGAGGCCGGCAAAGACATACATACCACCCCCTACGGCAGTCATAAAAGCCTCCGTCCTATCTTCACTCCGCCCTCATACTCCCTTCCTAACCGTCATCATCCTCCTCATTCCCTTCCGCATCCATCATCCTTCCTCCTCTCTCCTTCCTCCTCCTCCTCATCCTCCTCCTCCTCTCTCCTCCTCCTCTCCTCCTCTCTCCCCCCCCCCCCCCCCCCTCCTCCTCCTCCTCCCTCCTCTCTTCCCAACTCTACACACCCCTCTCCTCCTCCTCCTCATCCTTCCTCCTCTCCTCACTCTCCCCCTCCTCCTCCTCCTACCTTCCTCCTCCTCCTCCTTCTCCTCCTCCTCTCTCCTCCTCCTCCTCCTCCTCCCCCTCATTCCCCTCCTCCTCCTCCTCTTCTCCTACTCCTCCTCCTCCTCCTCCTCCTCCTCCTCCTCGTCGTCCTCCTCCTCCTCCTCCTACTTATGGTGGTGGTGGTTGTGGTGGAGAAGCCCACGCCGCTCCGGCCAGCGCGCGGCGGCGGAGCGCTTGGCCCCGGACGGGTCGCGACGAGCACTGCGCGGGCAGGCTGGTCCTCCGCAGGCGCGGCCCCCGCGGCGCACTTCGGGGGCAACGAGCCGGGTGGGATCGGCATATATCTGGCGATCGCAAACATAGATCAAGGGGGCGTGGATTAGCGACGGGTCCCGCTTCCATGGGCAATCGCGGATTTCCGCCGCCGAGCGAGGCGGCACTGGCCGCATTTTGGGGAGGGCACCTCCCCCGATCCATGGATTTGACGACCGCGCGCCAAATCCATGGATCGCTAATCCATGTTTGCGCGCCCCCGATATAGGGGGGGGGTCGCTCAAGAAACGGGGGTCAGGGGAAACGTGGGTCAGCCAGAGCGCCGGATGTTGTAGGATCCTGCAGGGCCAGAGTCGCGTTGACCCGGGTTTGGGCGCAGGATCCTGCAGGATCCTGCAACGCCTGACTGACCTGGGTCTGGATTGACCCGGATCAGAAGATCCCCGAGGGGGATGCATCGGCCTCCAACCGCCCATGGATCGCCGATAGTGGCCCCAACCCGCCCATGAAGGTGCGGACTCACTTTGGGTATAGCCAGGACCCCGGGTAAGGGGACCTGGTTAGTGGTAGGGCCCTGGGGCCCCTCGATTGGCCAGATTCACTAAACCAGGTTTGCCGTAGCTGGTGTTTTTCGGGTGACGGCAGTTCCGGTCAGTGGAACAGGGCCTGGGGGGCGCCCCCCAGTACACATTACTAAACCAGGTCCCACTAAATCCAGTTCTGCCAACGCCCGATCACTATCGGGGGCCCATCGCCGCTCTGTTGGCGAGGTGTCGCCGATTCCAGGTCGATGCACCCCCCCCTGTGCCAGCCCCCCCCCTGCTGTTGTCCTCAGCCTGGTCGAGGCCCCCCCCCCCCACCCCTCCCACCCCCCACCCCCCACTGTGCCAAAGTCCCCCTCAGGCCTGTTCAGTCCCCCCCAGGCCGATGCACCGCCCCCTGTGCCAGCCCCCCCCCCGTGCCAGCCCAACCCCCTGCCGTTGCCCGCAGCACTGCCTCACACTGGGCGCCTGCCTCCGCGGCCCGCGCGGGGCGGCGCGCGGCTCGCCGCCCCCTGCGGCGCGGCCTCTCCGCGGCCCCCGCGCTTCCGCGCCTCCGCGAGAGCACGGCGCGGGCGAGGCGGCCTCCGCGGGCGGCGGCCCCCGCGGCGCACTGGCGTCGCGCTGGAGATCCTCCTCCGCGGCCCGCGCGGCGGCGCGCGCGCACGGAGGCGCGCGCGGGCCTCCGCCGCGCGGCCTCTCCGCGGCCCCCGCGGGCCCAGCGCGCCCCGCGCGCCCGCCCGCGGCGGCCCGCGCGCGCCGTGCGCGGCGCCGGCGGCGGGCGCGGGCCGCGGCAGAGCCCCGGCGTCGGGGGGGCGGGAGGCGCGGCTGCAGGGAAAAGTCGGGCCTGTCCCCCTACAGGGGGATTTTCGACGAGAAATAAAACATACACCAACAATAGCCGAAAAATAAGCAAAAAAAAAGTCTGGGGACTATTTTTGGGATATTTTTTGGGGCCTTCTTTAGTGTATTTTTGGAATATTTGTAATTTTTCGTTGGGAATCCCCCTGTAGGGGGACACGCCCGACATAACTGCAGGGCCGACGGCCTGGGCCGGGCAAGCTCCCCAAGCAGTGCTTGCACTGAAGGGGGTCCTGGCCTCGCCGCCGGGGCCCTCGGCCGAGCCCCAGGCTTGCGGAGGTGATCGTGGCATGCTCTGAGCTCTGTTTCGTCTGCACAGCGCATGCCACGGTCGCCTCAGCAAGCCCAAAGACGACACAGAGTAAGAGCCAAAGAGCTTCGTTTTGGCAAGACGACACAGAACAAAGCTCACAAAGCGTCTGCACAGAGCATGCCACGGTCGCCTCAGCAAGCCACAGAGATGCCCTCAGCCTATGCACAGAGCATGCTTCTGAGCTCTGAGGTTTCCCGTCGAGCTCTCTGCCAAAACAAAGAAAGAGATTTGGCGACAGTTTCCTGCCGATTCTGGTAGCCGGCTGGGTGCCCAGGTTCTGGTTCTGGGTTCCCGGGTGCCCAGTTATTGGTTCCGGGGCGATTTTGGTGGGTTCCGAGTTCCCGGGTTTCCGGGTTCCTGGTCGATCTCCTTATCGATCTCTTTACCGATCCCACGATTCATGATCGATCTCATGATCTATCTCACTATTCATCTCACGTAATCGATCTCACCATCGATCTCATCAAACAATTCACTGATTGAGTTTTTTTCTTTTTTATTGTTTCGAGCGTCCCAGCCTCCACGGGGGCAACGAGCTGTCGAGCCCCGTCCAGAGAAGGCAATCAATCGTCGAGAATCCGCGGCCAGGCGGGAGTTGACCACACGTACGAGCGACCCTCCGCCGGAGCGACCTCTGGTGCGGGCCCTCGGGTTGCTCCAGGGACGGGGGCCCATGCAAACGGGGGTCGCGGTCAGAGCGCCGGGCCTGGCAGGATCCTGCAGAGCCAGGGGCGCACGGACCTGGGCTTGGGTGCAGGCTCCTGCACGATGCTGCAGGGTCCTGCAGGATCCTGCAAAGCCCGACTGACCCGAGTTTTCATGGCGCCAACATCGCAGAGCGGATTTCGTTCGGAAAGCGAAAAGATGGGCCCGGAGTGTCCTGGAGAATTCTCGTTCCGTTCCGGACTTCGAGTTCCGTTCCGGATGCTGCAGGATGCTGTAGGATGCTGCAGCATCCTGCAGTCGGGGATGGACAGACCCCCTTTTAGTAAAACGTGGTCTAGTGAAAACGACCTGAGGCCCAAACCTGGCGGGCGCAAGCCTGGAAAATACGGCCGGACAACTCACTAATCGACGTGTCACTGTTGGGGGTTCTGTCCAACCCCGATGCAGGATCGATCCTGCAGAAAGCTGCAGGTCACCACCTACCAAACCACCCCAACCCAACCCGAAGGCCTCAATTTGCCCTCCATTTCCAGTGGGGGGGGGGGTCGGGGAACATCGAAAAAACACATATGGAGCCCATACCCCCCCAACCCGAAATTCGGGTCTTCGGGTTGGGTTGGGGTGGCCTGGTAGGTTGTCAGCAGGGTCTTGCGGGATCCTGCAGGGCCCGACTGGCCCGCGGCACGCCGGGCGCGCCTCCGCGCCCCGCGCGGCGGCGCGCGCGCGCACGAAACGCGCGCGCGCGGCCCTTCGCCGCCCTCTGCGCGGCGCGGCCTCTCCGCGGCCGCCGCGCCCGCGCGCCGTCCGCGCCTCCGCGGCGGGCGCGGGCTGCAGAGGAGCCAGGCGTCGGGGGCGGGAGGCGCGCTTCCAGGGCCGACGTCCCAGTGAGCGTTGCTTTTTGTTGCTGTTGTTGGTTGTTTCTTTTGACTCTTGTTTCTTGTCTGTTTTTTTGTTCCCCCCCCCCCTCCCCCCGTAGCGCTCGCTGCCCTGGTCGAACCCACCCCCCTCCCCGGGTAACGCTAACGATCGTGCTGGGGGTGGGTGGGCCGGACCCCCCCCCCCTACTTGCTGTGGTGCACACAGGCGATTGATGCGCCGGTCGCGCGGACGCACCCTGGAGGGTGCACGCCGCGGCCGCCGTTACCGTTACCCTCCCGCCCGACCCCCCCCGGGTAACGACCGTATCCCAGAAGAAAAAATTGTCATTTGGGCTGGGCAAGTCGGCGAGGGGTTGTCGCGTAAGGAGCTTGCTCCCCGGCATCGCTCGGGCGTGTGCACTTCTTCACGTCGAGAGCCATCCGGGGTTCTCTTGCGAGGAAAAGGCGCACGACACCGAAGAACGCACACGGGGAATGAACGTCCGAGCGATGTCGGGTTGCTCCCTCGCCCGCGGGCTGGCCCCGAAGCGAGTTCGAGGTGGGTCCAGCCGCGGCGATGACGACGCCTCGCGGGGCCAAGCGGGGTGTCACGAGCGTGAGAGTCCCTGCCGTGGGCGGCGGCGGTCCGGCGGGCCCGCAGAGCCCTGTGACACCGCCATGGTGGCCCACCCGGAGGGCCCCGGCGCTGCCCCCGGCGAAGCCCAGGAGGGCCCCCGCGGGGAGAGCCCACGAGCGCTCCCAGAAGGCCGCCGGGCGGTGCCTGCGGGCAGCCCAGGAGAGGCACGTGGGGGGTGCCTGCGGGCAGCCCAGGGGCGGCACGCGGGGGGTGCCCGCGGGCAGACCGGGAGAGGCACGCGTGAGGTGCGCCTGCAGGCGGCGCGGGAGAGGCACTCGGGAGGCGCCTGGGCGCTCGAGAGGGGCACTGGTGAAGGGCCCGCGGCCCAGGACGGCCCCTGGATGGCCCCAGGTCGGTGCACGCCAGCGGTGCCTCGCGCCCCCGCGGAGGTGGCGGGCGCGCACGAGGCGGGGTCGGGGCGAGGGCGAGGGGCCTCTCAAGAGGGCAGGGGGGGGCTCTCTTTGGAAGCCCTCCCGCCCCCGAGGGGAGGCATCAGCAGCCTCCCGCCCCTCGCACAGGGCATCGACTGCAAGCCGTATGCATTACCCCGAGTGGATTTTTGCGCGTCGAATCAGTTCCAACACGTGGAGTGACAGCGTATCTTGCTTATGCATCTGCGAGCATTCTACGTCCTTCTGTTTGTGGTTTCGACGGAATTTTCAATGTTTGGGTAACTCATTTCTGTAACTAGTCGATCCCCTACTCGAATCCCTTCGAAGAAGCCTCCCGCTTCCTCCCCTTCTCTGCCTTCTCAGTAGGCCGCCAGCCTTCCCTTCCTGCTGTAGTCGATCCCCTACTCGCATCCCCTGACCAGTCTGTAGTCGATCCCCTACTCGAATCCCTTCGAAGAAGCCTCCCTTCCCTTCCTTCTCTGCCCACTCGATCCCCTACTCGACCCCCCATCCCCTGCCTTCTCCAGTGGGCCGCCAGCCCCGCCCCGCCCCCGGCCCAGCAGTGCCGGTCCCCCGCGCGCCCCGGGCCGCTCGCGGGTCCCACCTCCGACCGCCGCCCCGAGCCGGGAAGCGGAGCGGCCATGAGGGCGACGCCCCCCAGAGGCACACCCAGTCCCTCAGTGGGCCCTGGAAACGACTGGGCCTCTTTGTTACCGGTTCCGTTTTGCCGTTTTTCTGCCAGTTCCGAGACCGTTTTTTTACCGGATCCGTCGCCGTTTTTTGACCGGTTCCGGCTCCGGTTCCAGCCCTGGAGCCGTTTTTTTGCCGTTTCCGGTCGCCGTTTTTTTGCCGTTTCCATTTTCAAGGGACATTTTTTGGGAAACGGAGAAAAAACGGCCCTGCCGTTTCCGGGGCCCACAAAGCCCAGTCCCCCTTCGGGCAGTGAAAGCATCATGGCGGGAGGTTTTGCGCCACCTTCGGCCTCATATGGGGGCCTCGCCGGGCCGCGGGAGCGTCCGCAAACCGACTCGGGGGGAGAGACCGGTCCCTGGGGAATAGAGGTCGAAGCCTCTGGTGGGGGTCGACGCGACGACACATCGACTAGACGTAAGAGTGACCTTTCGCCGGAGTGACCCTTGGTGCGGGCACTGATGGGCCCCCAGATGGCCGAACGCGCAGCGGCAGCAGCGGCTAGCGCGCCTGGATTTGGCCTCCCCGCGGCCCCCCAAAAGCCGCGCACCAAAGGTCACTCTTACCCAGGGTCACTCTTACGTGTAGCCGAACAAAAATCATTACGTCGGGGGTCTGGGTAGCTCCCCCCACGGCCCCCCCCCCTCGCCTACATTGAGGCGATCGCAGACATGGATTCAGAGGGCGTGGATCAGCGACGGTTCCCGTTTCCATGTGACATCGCCGATGTCCGCCGCCGAGCGAGGCTGCACCGGCCGCATTTTAGGGAGTGCACCTCCCCCGATCCATGGAATTGGCGACCGCGCGTCAAGTCCATGGATCGCTGATCCACGTTTGCGCGCCCCCGCATACGTGCAGGTGATCGCCAACGGCAAGCACCCGTGCCCCCGACGCGTGCATGCGATCTCGCGGGGTGGCCTGATCCTGGTCCTCCCTCCTCCCCCTTCCTCTCCCTCGCTGGCGGGGTATCCTCCTCTCCTCCTTCTCCTTAGGTCGGGCCTGTGCCTCGACAGGAAGAGTATGCAAAAATAAGAATAACTAGCCTGGGGACGATTTTATTTGGGAGGTATTTTTTGAGTATTTTGTATGTTTCGCCAAAATCCCCCTGCATGGGGGACACGCCCGACTCGACCTTCTCCTCCTTCGTCCTCCTGCGCCCCCCCTCCTGGCACCTGGCACCTCGTGGCGTGACCGTTCTCCTGAACGTTGCCTCCCCCCCCCCCCCCTCAGGGCGGGTCGGCCCTGAGGTGGGTTCATCAAACCAGGACCGGGCCAGGGGCCACCGCCACGCACGTGTTTTTACGTCTGGGAGTTAGAGTGGGCAGATAGACAGACAGGCAGGCAGACAGACAGACAGACAGACAGACAGACAGACAGGCAGGCAGACAGACAGAGAGAGAGAGAGAGAGAGACAGACAGACAGAGAGAGAGAGAGAGAGACAGAGAGACAGAGAGACAGACAGGCAGGCAGACAGACAGACAGACAGAGAGAGAGAGAGAGAGAGACGGACAGACAGACAGACAGACAGACAGACAGACAGACAGACAGACAGACAGACAGACAGACAGACAGACAGACAGACAGACAGACAGACAGACAGACAGAGACGGGCAGACAGACAGAGACAGACAGACAGACAGGGATGGGCAGACGAGGAGACCCCCCCTCCTCCTCCGCCCTCCTCCTCCTCCTCCTCCGCCTCCTCCTCCTCCTCCTCTCCCTCCTCTTCGCTCGCGGGGTGGCCTGCCCTCCCCCGCTCGCTCGGCAGGACCTGGACATGGGCAAGCAGGGCAAGTCGGCCTCGGACGCGGCCAAGGCCCGGCCGCCGCCCGCCTCCCCCCCTGCGGGCGACGCGCGCCCCCTGCGCCGCCCTCGCCCGCCCCGCCCGCCCTCGCCGACTGCGTCCTTGCCGTCTCTGCCGTCGCCCTCTTTGGCGTCTCGCCGCTCCGAGAAGACTCGCCGCCGCCGCCGCCGGCGTCGTCGTCGTCGTCGTCGTCGTCTTTGTCGTCGTCGTCGTCGTCGTCGTCGTCGTCGTCGTCGTCGTCGTCGTCGTCTTTGGCGTCGTCGTCGTCGTCGTCGTCGTTGTCGTCGTCGTCGTCGTCGTCGTCGTCGTCGTCGTCTTTGGCGTCGTCGTCGTCGTCGTCGTCGTCGTCGTCGCGCCAGGCGCCAGAGGCGCACCGTGTCTGTTGGGGGCCGTGCCGTCGCCACTGCCCGAGAGGGTCTCCTCGGGCCTTCTGCGAGGCGCGGGCCAGCATGAGCTGAGCGGCAACCCGAGTCACCGTCAGTGTGCGCCCCGGGTCACTCCCAGGGGCGCGAAGGTCGTCGCGCTTCGCGCGTCTCGGTCTCGACGGGTCTCGCGAGGGCGCGAAGATGGCCGCGCGCCCTCGCGCACCGTGTCGCGCACCGCGGGGCGCGATGCGAGAAGTTCGGTGGCCTGGGAACCGTTATCGGGCTCCGCCGCCCTCGTCGTCGCCGTCGCCTCCGTCTTCGTCGCCCTCCTCGTCCTTCTCATCCCTCGGGAGAAGAGGAGGAGGAGGAGGAGGAGGAGGAGGAGGAGGAGGAGGAGGAGGAGGAGGAGGAGGAGGAGGAGGAGGAGGAGGAGGAGGAGGAGGAGGAGGAGGAGTCTGAGACTTTACGCTTCCTTGAGGGGTGGAAGGTCCCGAGGTGGTTGGGCATTGAACGAGCAGCCACCTTTGTGGGCCTGACGGCCCGCAGCGGAGGAGGAGGAGGAGGAGGAGGAGGAGGAGGAGGAGGAGGAGGAGGAGGAGGAGGAGGAGGAGGAGGAGGAGGAGGAGGAGGAGGAGG